TGTGTTTGGATTGTAGCTATCAGAAAGCCCGTGACATGTGGTTATTTGGTTGTTTCTATCAGAGTTGAGTTTTAGCAATATTGTTATAATGTTTTGTGGAATTTTTAACCTCAACAAGGCATCTTCCAGGCGATTTTTATCCATGGAATCATATGCCTTGCTGATGTCCTATGTGAGGATCCAGCATTCTTTTTGATTTTCTCTAGCATCTTTCAAAACATTGTTGATAATCATTATCGGTTCATGCGTTCCTCCTCCAGGGAGTCCTGCCCAGTTGAGAGGAGATAGTATTTTGTGTTCTGTGAAAACTTTGGTTAGTCTGTTGTTCAGTATTTTTGTGAAAATCTTTTTAATCATTTCCAACAGTGTGATGGGTCGAGTTAAGTTGAAATTATAGTGCCAGTCTTTCTTTTTGGGTATGGAATATATTAAATTGTGCTGCCAGAAGCGTGGAATTTCTTGTGTTTCCAGCATCTTGTTAAATATATCTACAATTCTTGTGTATGCTGTTTTACCCATTTTTTTAATAATATCGTAGCTAAGCTAGGATTTGTCAGGTGCAGATCCATTGTTCATATTCTTGATTGTTTCTTCGATTTCTTGTATTGTATATGGTTCCATAAGCTTTGAGTACCACATTGGATTGATCTGAGTTTTTGATATATATTCTTCCTGTCATTTGAACTCTTCGGCTTTTTGATTTTGTAGTGTTGGCTCTGCGATTTGTTTGTAGTGATCCACTGCCATCTTTTTGATCGTGGTTGAATCTGTAATAGCATCCTTCTCTGGATCTTTGAGGAGTAGTTTGTCCATTTTGATGTGTGTAGATTTTCTGTTTAGAAATGAATCTATCATCTTCTTTTTTGCAAATTGATGATTGTATTGTCTTATCTCTGTATATTTTTTAATTTGGATTTGTTTTCTGTGTTGGAGATGGATCTTCAGTGCCTTTGTAATACCTGTTTTTAGGTTGCATATTTCTTGGAACCATTGGACTAGGTCAATGCCCTGGGATTTGTCTGTGAGCTTGGTTGACAAGAGTTCTGCTGTCTGTTTATTTGTTTTTTGCCACTTGACTACCTGTGACACAGTGTGTTCGGCATCTATCTTCCCCGCCAGATATTTTTCCCCAACGTTTATGGCCCTGTTGAGCAGTGTAATTGTGTGTGCTGTTTTTCTATCAGCGATGTTTGTTTTTTGTTTATTTTGTTTGACCTTTAGTTTTTTGATATTGTCCCTCATGGCTTGATTTATTGCCTCCCATGTAAGATTCCACAGCTTGTTTGCTGATACGCAGTTGTGGTTAATTTTTTCCTCTTGTGCTTTTATAGTGTTCGTGATTTGTTTTGAGAATTGTTTCCATTGTTTTATAGTTGTGTGTTTTGTAGAGTATCTTCATATTGGCTTTTCTTTGTTGTTCTGAGAGGTTTTTTGGGTTATGTCACTGGTTTCAATTATACAGCCTGCTATCTTATGATCACTGTGGGTTATTGCTTCTGACTCTGTTATATATGCATGGCACAGGTTTCATTCTTTATCTGATGACATCCAAATCTGATCGATTCTGGTTTTTGTATTTCTGCTGTTCTGCCACATATATTCTTCCCGTGTGTGGATATGCCTCTCAGAATGTATCGATATATCCATTGTATTTGAGAAATTTAAGAATGTGTGATGTTGGGTTGTTTGATTTGTTCTGGTTCTTGGCCAGTGTTGTCTTGTCTAATCTCGGGTTTGGAATGGAGTTGAAGTCCCCTAAGACAATAACTTTGTGGTTATTCTTTCTTGCGATCTGAATTCTCTTCTCAACCCAGTGCATTGTCAAGTCTCTTTCTTTCCCTAGGGCTGCTGGTATGTATACTGCAATAATTGTGACTATTATTTTTTGTTTGAAGTGTAGGTCGATGCTGATGCCTCTTCCTGTGAATTCAATAGTTTTGCCTACATGGGTAGCGATATTTTGCTGAATCATTACTGCAATTCCTGCACCTTTGTTGTCACTTGACCACCAGGTTCTGTAGTTGGGAAATCTCCAGAATATTGTGTCTTGTTTTGTTACTTGCGTTTCTGTCATTACTGTAATGTCTATTTGTTGCTCTTCACAGAAGTCATGCCATTGGAATCTTTTGGATTCGTCATTGATGCCTCTGATATTGTGTGTCACAATATGCCAGGTGTTGATAGTTTGTTACGTGTGTCTGCCTTGTATGTATTTGTTGTGTGTTGTGGGCATGTGTGTATACCTGGTGTGTTGGGTGTGCTAATTGTTTCGTCTGTTTTTGAATAATTTTTTGTTTCTTTTTCCTCTATGTGAAAGGAAAATTGCATGGTCACATGAGTCTATGCAATGATGATCCCAAAAATGACAAATCTGAGAAAAATGAGATATCTGTAAT